GTTCTGCCCCGTCCCCTCATCCTCGCGTGAGGGAAGGTCCAAGTCAAGAGCTGGTTGGGGGCATTAGCTGGCATGTCCCTGTCATCATCTTGGTGCTTGCAGTGGTCAGATCTGAGAGATGTGGTGCCCTTAGTGTGTTCTAGTGCCTTGGCCTGGCAGAAAGTCTCTGGGCTGTGGCAGGGGATCCCACAGCGTGGCGGGTGGCACCACCCGGGCTGCTCAGAGCGTTTCCATGGTTTTCACCTCATCTTGGTGGAGATTGGGACAAAAATGGTTGATGTGGTTGCCTGAAGCAAGAGCTCCCAACGTGTTTCTGCTGTGTTCTGCCTTTTCAGCCTTTGAATAGCTCGGTTCCTTCAGCTTTGGAGGCTCTCTTCGTTGTAGACCTTGTGGTGATAGCTTCAGATTCACCCCCAAGCTGCGTGTCTGGCCACCCCTCACTGTAAGGAGATGAGGGGAAACGAAAAGTCAGGTCCTCTGCTGGGTGCAGATCATGTGGATTTGAGCCATAAACACCCATTCTTTGTGCAATTAGTTCATTAGAAAAATTGATGCCCTTTCCACAAACACTCAGTCCAAAAATACAGCGTATATTGAACGTAAGAATCGGCTCTTCTGGGCTGCACAGTTCATTGTAGCTGGTACCCAACAGCATGACTTGATAGGGGGCTGTCCATTTATTGAGGAACGGAGTAGGTAGCTGTGCTTTTTCCTGTTCCCAGGGCCAGATTTCCAGAGAATCCGCTGTTCTGGGGGCATCACGGGTGATGAGCACCTCTGGGTGGAGTCCTGTGTGCGCTAGTGCCGAGGACGGAGCTCGGGAGGCGCGCGGTGCTCTTGGAATGCACCAGAAACCGTGGATGTAGCGCGGCACCCGAGCTGCCCGCTCGGTGTGGAGCGGGATAGCTGGGATCATGGTCATGGAGCGCAGGGAAGCAGAGAGCTTTTCTAGCCCCATCTCAAAGAATTTTCATAAACCCTGAGTTTTTCTAGCCTGGGAGGCTGCCTCAGAGACTTCCGAGTTCCTGGACTGCTGCTTGCTGAAGGGATACGCCTCGGATAGGGGTTATCGTCCTGTTTATTTGCCCTCCTCGCGTGTTTGCTGCCGTGCAGGACCGTGTCTGTGCGGATCTCTGCTCGGAGTCGGCCTGGTGGGTCCTGTCCTCACGAGCTGCCTCGGCCCTTAACAAGGGATTTTGAGAGCAGCCGGGCGGGAAGGGCCAGTGGGACCAGGAGCGATCCCGGATCAGGGCCTGGGGGCAGCGGGACGAGCTCGAGCTTGTGTGGCCAAGCAGGGGACGGGCTCGTTGCTTTTGGTTGCGTTTGGGCTCCACTGAGTGCTTGGGCCTTCCTTACCCCTCCAGCCTATTTTACTGCATTCCCGTCTTCCTGCAGGAGCTTGCAATATTCAGAGTTTCTCGGAGCTCTTGGTTTTCCTAGCTGGTTTGTCCAAAAACACAACATCCCTTACCCTGTGCTGCTTTAAAAACAGTCAAATCACTCCGGTGAGCGAGAGGAATGAAAGCAGTGGGAGCATTCCAGAACCTGGGTGTATTCACAAACGAGGCTCATACTAGAAGCAAGTAGCACTAATCAGCTTTTCCAAAGGAAATGCCTAGAAAGCTTTTATATAGATCATGATTGGTTCGTTTTCTTACTTAGTTGCTTATTTATAGCCACACTCAAATGCTCCAGGGCTAGCATTGCTCCAGGAAAACCTGTGCCTGGTGCCGTGGGTAGGAGTGCCTTGGGAATGGTGTCCTGGATTGTCACCAGAATAGTGTGCAAGTTGGGACCCGTTATCCCAAAAATGTTATGGGACACGAGCATGAACAGGGGTGGTTTGGAGTTTGCCTCGGCTGTGTGTCTAATGAAAAAACTTGTTCTTAAAGTAATGATGGGTGAAAAGCAAGTAAGAGGCGATGCCTGTAGCCTGGGAGATGTCTCCGTGTGGAGCAGGTGGCAGCGCGTGGTCACCGCAGGCACCGACCCTTGGGGAAGGACATCCCTTCCGTGGCCTTTTCCTCTCCCCCTGCATCCGCATATGTGGGCAATGGAAAATGATCTGTGGTGGCATCAAAACAGCGTCGAATAGGGCGTAAAACAGGGAGAAGAGGCATCAGGAGCTGGATGTGGGCAATGGAAAATGATCCGTGGTGGCATCAAAACAGCGTCGAATAGGGCGTAAAACAGGGAGAAGAGGCATCAGGAGCTGGAGATGGCGGCTTGGTGTTTCTGGTTCTGCTGCTAAGGCCCTTCTGGTGTGGGGTGAGAGGGGCTGTTGGCAGCTGGTGCTGCGGTGGGTACCAACCCCTGGTGCTCCCAAGGCGCCTTGAAGGCTTTGGATGTTCGAAGAAGGTTCCTCCTGCTGGAAGAGCCTTCCCAAGGCAGCGGGGATGGTTCTGTGGGGAAAAACGTTGCCGGGACAGTGGAGGCTTCGCCTGGTGCAGCCACAGGGAGGTTTTCTGCACTGCTAGCACAGATGTCTGCTGCGTACAGGGCAGGCACCACTAGCCCATGTAGCTTCCACCCTCTTCCCACTGCCCCCTTCCACCCGTTTCTCACAAGAAAGGGTGTTGTTTTTTTTTTTTGGTCTTTTTTACATAATAAATCTCTGCTTTTGTTTGCTCTCTGTAGCAGTGTAACTTCTGAACCATTACAGGCTCTTTGTTACCATCTGTGCTAGCAAGACTGTAGAATGTGCTAGACTAGGGGGGAATGTTTGACGAATAAAAACCTGTAATCCTCGGCGCTGTGTCTCGTGCGGTTTGTTCCGTTTCACCGGCGACGTCCGGCTCTTTCTTTGCCCTCAGCTTCTTCCCTTTGCCTTCCTGGGCTGCTGGGGCAGCCCCTCACTGAAATGTCCCTTTTCTGGCCAGGGAGGGAAGGGGGACAGTGTGATAAGAGGCTCTTGGGTGCTCCGAGCGTAGAGCCTGTGGCTACAGCTTGCAGTTAGGGTGTAGGGACCCATGGGGTGGCCAAGCTATAAAACTGGCACTGTTAAATTGTGGCTGTTGAAGGACTGGTCCGGAATCCCCCTAAACTGCTCCTTTCTTGCCCTTCTAGTGCAAGCAGGTGGATTCCCTGTGCACAGCTGCATTCAAACAGCCTTGGGTGGTTCTCCGGGTTAGCTCTTGGTACGTGAAGATGCAGGTCCTGGTCTATCCAGGCATCCTGTCCACGCGCAGCTGCTGGCGCTCGCTCACAAGGCGAAGCAGCCTAGAGAAGGTGCAGAGCATCTGCTTGTACCTCAGCAGGTCAGTGGAATCAAAAATGGGGCTGCTTTTAAAAATGATGAGGAGAAATCCTTCCTTACTACATGTCTTACAGCATGTTGCGGCCAGGAACTTCCATGCAAAGGCTTGTATATTTTATATTCAATAATGTCTGTAAGGAATGCCACTGAAAAATAATGTTGTTAAAAGACTTGAGTGCAAATAACTCTGGAAGGGATCTTAAGCCTCCCGCTTCAAGATTTAAGCCAATCTCCAACTATTGAGGATTAGGGGGGGACCTCAGGGGACCTGTCTACCCCACATCTGTTCCTGGGAGGCTACTTGGCACTGCCTGGACCTGCAGAAGGGCAGTTGCTGCTGGAGGAAAATAATAGATTGGTGAATTTTGCACTTGTTGAACAGATCGGAGCAGACACGTTCAAACCTTGGTGCAGTTTAATGGAGACAGTGGCTGCTGAGGTTCTGATGTTGCTTTGAGTTGTGACCTCTGAGGCTTGAGCACGGTTAAGGTGCAGAGCACAGGCAGGCTCCGAGCAGGGCCCTGCGTTGGGGCCAGGGCTGCCGTTGGCTCCTGTGCCACCATCTGCCCGAGTCGCTTTGTGTCCCGCTGTGCCCTGTCACCAGGTCACTTCAGTGCGTGGCTGGGGGTAACCAGCCCTTTCTTTCAGCTTGGGTGACCTCTTAGCTCTCCTGAGTTGTCTCCATAAACATTTTGGCCTGGAGAAGAGCTGGCTGCAGAGCAGCAGTGTCTGAAGCCAGTGCCAAAACTGCTCCGCAGCCTTCCTGCGTTGCTCTGGGCCAGCGATGGGCTTTCCCTAAGATGCTTAGTGTTGATTAACATTTTTCAGTGCCACCAGTGCTGGGGCCACGTGTGAAATGGTGGCAACACAGAGGAGTAGCTGGGGAGCCAGGTTGCAGGTCCATGAACGGGGGTGGCCCCTGCCTGCTCCAGGAGCTGCTCCGGGGGGGTCCTGGCGGGACAGGCTCCCTGGCGCCCCCGTGTCCTGGTGCCACTGGCCGCAGGGGAGGTCCTGGTGGCCCAGCTCCCGCGGGGGAGGCTGCTGGAAAGCCTGGAGGTTCCTGCAGCTCCCTGGCTTCCAGCGCCGCCTTTCCCTGGGGCTGCTGCTGTAAAAGGCAGTGTCGGAGCAGGTTGTTTCCCTGCTGCTCCCTACCCAAAGCTCGGAGCAGCCCCGGGGGAGGCTCAGCCCGTGTCCTGGGGGTAGGTGACGTTACAGCAGTGCCCGGGCCCGGCCACGGTGCTGCTTGCGGCGTTTGCCAGCCCCTGGGTTGCATCCGCTGTGAAGAACACGCTCCTTTCCCCAGCAGCAGAGAGGCCAGTGCCTTCCTCCAGCACCCTCCTCCTCCTCAGCAGAGTCCCGCAGCCCCTCGGGAACCTCCCTGCTTTTCCGGCCAGGAGCAGCCGGAGCGCCCCGAGCGCTGTGGCCGAGGAGAGGAGCAGGGGAGCCCTGCAAGCCTGTGCCCCACCGCCCCGGCAGCGAGCAAGCACGCCTCCATGTCAAACATAATATATTTATAGCAAAAATAGGCTTTTTTTTTCTTTTTCTGTAGCTTCCATACACAAGGTTTTCTCTGTCCCCGTACATTTACGCAGTAAACAGGCTGACTGAAGCAGCGCGCGCCAGGCCGGGACAGCGGCCCTCGCTCCGGGGCGCGCGCGGTGGCCCCAGCCCTTCCTCGTCCTTCTCCCGGCACCGGGACAGAGCAGCGGGGCAAGGGGGGAGCACGGGGGTCCCGGGCCCGCGCGGGGAGGCGGGAGAGCCGCGGTGGCGCCAGGCCCTCGCTGTCCTTACAGCAGGGCCCGTCCCCCGCGTCACGGCCTCCTCTGCCAGCGCGGGGCCCTGCCTTGCTGGAGC